AAAAAGCAAGCCTTTGCATAACTACCAAACCCTTTTCTCTCATTTCCTCAGCCCTACTTACTAGGGATTTCCTTCCTTCACCCTGTTTTCTGTATTAATGAATCAATATATTAGTGAATCAGTGAAAGAACTTGTGAGACTTGGAGGGCTCGGCTTGTGTGCTTTGGAAAGTAGCAGAATCCACTAGCATATATGAGAGTTTCTACCTCTCCCACTTTTGCTAACCGTTTATCAGACTTAATAAAATAATTTGCCAATCTCGTTTCTGCTGTCTGTTTCCGGGTCTGCAGCATGCCCTCTCCCCCTCTCACCTCACATGTTCTTGCTATCCTGCCAGAAGGGTCTCAGAAACACCTCCTCAGGGCAGGGCTCCTTCCAGCTGCCACTCACTGTGTGATACCTTTGCCATTCGTTCTTGCCTCCAGGCTTGAGTCATTTGAGGACAGGCTTGGCCTTAATTACCTCTGAATAACCAGTTCCTAACAAAGGGTCTGGCATGCTTGCTTGATGAATGTGGAATAACTAAGCCTTTCCACAAGCTGGAGGTAGCTAATATGGGGCCAACACTAACTACATGTCCCATTATCAAGGGCTCTCACACTCAGAGTCAAGCAAGGGACAGATATAATCTAAGTGACAGGAATGCTCCTTAGACTGCAGAACGTAAACTTGTTTATGACCTGGAATAACTGTTGTTCCCTGAACTCACAGGAAAAAATTTGTGGGACTTGGAGGGCTCTGCTTGTGTGCTTTGGAAAGTAGCAGAATCCACTTGGGCCAGAGTTTGTTTGTTTAACTTACACCAAGTAAGAGCTAATTGCTAATGTTTGCTTCCCCCCCCCCACCAAAATAGTTGATGGCCTAACATACAAGAACCACATATCTGAACTGGCTTTCAGAAGTGTCAGAACTAGCAGCAGCCAGGAGTCCCACCACCCAGACTGTGAAACATTCTCAATGTCTGGAGAGGACAGCCCAGGGGGGCACCGCAAGGCCTCAGGACAAGTCGGTTACTGGGTGTCTTCTGTCAGTGTACATGTAATCAGGGCCTTATGGGGGCCACGGACTCCCCAGGGGCTGGGCTACAGTAGAATGAAAACATGGAATAATAAGCCATCAAGGGGAGCAAACTCTCAATTTTAAACAAAATGAGTTATTTTGAGGATGAAGGACAAAATGTTTATGTATGACATACAGAGAAGCCTGGTACCTAGCAGACAAGGAGCACATGGAAGCTGTTATTAAGCCACAGATCGCTCCTTCAAGAGGCCTTCCTTCTGTCCATGAAATAAGAGTTTTATCCACACATTTTTTCACTCATTCAGGAAATATTTATTGAATGCTCAGTGTGTCTCAGGCCCAGGGCTAAGCATTGGGTCTAGAGCAGAGAATGAAACAGAAAAGTGTCTGCCCTCATGGGGCTTACCTTCTAGTAGGAGCACAGACACAGTAAGAAATAGAAACATGCATATATAAATAACATGTTGGGTAGTGTTTAAGTGTCTGCGGTAAAATAAGGAAAAGGAGCTTGAGGGTGATGGGGGCATGACAGTGAGGGAAGGTGACAGGGATGGTCTCTCTGATGAGGGGACCACAAGCAAACACCTGCAAGAAGTGAAGAAGCAAGCCCTGCGACATGCAAGCCCCCGCCCAAGGGGGGACATGCCTGGTGAGATGCAGGAACCCACTCAGAACACAAGGAATCTGGGAGCCAAAGCCCTATGTGCTCTGAGAAGCAGCCTCCTTCCCTGGGCCCTGAGCCCTCAGGCCCCCACTCTTCTTTGCATGGGCCCACCAACAGGACGCCATCAGGGACACTGACAGTCCTCTCCCATTAGGTCCCAGTGAGGGGCAACTCACAAGATTAGGTACATGGGAGGTGAGGAGCGGCCTTAAAGAACAACCAACAATCTAACCCAAGGGAGTTAAATGTATATGAGAAAAGATGTGGAAATTCCTCCAGCCATCATTATTACAGGGAACAAGAGACAACAGAACAATCCTTGAGCATGAGTACTGAGGGGCTGCAAATAAAGAAGAGCATAAATAGAGGTGAGAGCTTCACTGGGCTTTGCTTGGCATGGAGATAGAGAGGCAGGGTGTTGAAGGGAGAACTGGTTATCCCAGGAAGCCCTGGGAAACAAGATGAAAGAATGTACATGCCCAGCTACCCAAAACTGTGCTGTGCATAATTTGAGGAGCTTGGGGTTCCCTTAGAGCCCACCCCCACACCAGAAGGACCACCAGTTATAAATCCCTGCTTTAGAGAAAGGGGCCCTATCTCAGTATCTAATCCAGCTTCAAGGCCACTATCAGAAGGGCTTGGTTGAACCTGCTGACCACAGTGGCTGGTGTAGCTTAGTGAACTTCACATTTGGAGAGCTGACTTTAACTTGCAGCTTCATGAAAGTTAAGGAAAAGTAATACATCAAATAATTTTGGATTCTTCCTTTTCTTTTTCAGGACTACTGGAAGGTTCTTAACCCTAACTGGCAATTATAAAGTACATGTGCTCTTCAGCTTCCTTCACCCTCAGCAGGCACCGATAGCCCTCCTGGTTGAGGCAAGGTATAGCCTCACGACTGTTCTCAACACTGCATGCCAGACGTACCTCCGTGATAGCACACAACAGACAGAAGTTGGGGTCACACAGCACGGGCCCTCTCTGCACTGGGAATGGTGTCAACTGCCCACTCACAGAGAAGCACATGGTCTGATTTTTTTTTTATGCAGCAAAAGAATGAATTTTATGAGATTTTTACATGTTTCTTCATCCTGTGTGAGTAAATGTCAGGTTGAAGTAAGATCATGGTCAGAAAATTGATTTTCCGTTTGAAGCTAAGGGGCTGACTTAATGCCTTCATTTCAGGTTCAGAGCAAGTAACCCAAGTAGCCATAAAGCTGCTCTGTCTCTGTAAAAGTTACAAATCTCAAAGCTAAGCCTTGCATGTGTATAAAAGATTATCTGAGGGAAAAAAGTCTGAAAGCAGTAGAGATGTGATAAAGAAGACAGAGAAGATGTCAAGTTCCCTGAGAGCTGAGAAATCATTCTGGTCTAAGTGAAGTACACCCTGTAACAATATCAAAGTTGAACCAACAGGTATGCCAGCAGAATGCTTTTATTATTTGCCTTATTTGGACCTAGTCCATGTTTCTATTTAACTGCTCCTCTTATTTTCTTGGGTAATAATTACAAGGCTAAATTTTCAAATAAAATAAAATTGTTCCTCTGCTCTATACAGATCGGCTAAAAGCAGGTTAAGGCATGTTTCCCCAAACCCCTTGTCCCAGTCCATTGGTCTTGGAGGTTCAGTATATGACCTGGGTGGGGAGGATCATTCTCAGCTCTTGTTAATTACCTGCCTATAAGTCACTTGGAAAGGTGGGTCAGTGAGCATCTCCAAGCCTCAGTATCCTCGTTTATAAGATGAATAGTTACTAGAGGTGTGTGTGTGTCGTGTGTGTGTGTGTGTGTGTGTGTGTGTGTGTGTGTGTGTGTGTAGTGTGGTGTGGGATAAAGAGTGGTGTAGCCATTTTGCAGGATAAAGCAGCAATTAGTTTCAATATGTTTTTATGGTGAGTCTCTAAACCTAACCTAGTCACTAATGTCTCTACCATTGGTCAAGGACTTGTAGCAAGGGAGAGATGGAAGGTCAGAAAAGTCCACCATTGCAGTATGTAAGAAATCAAAGCAAATATCCCTTTTATAGCTTGGTCATATCTTCTGACACCAAACATGATGGAAATCTTCACTTTACCTACATTCACTGAGAAAGCAGCCTGTTGGTCTGCAAAACCAGGTAACACAGCCTATAGATGAGAAATGACTTATTTTTCACGGATACAGCATACAGATAAAATGTTAAAATTACTTAGAAACCCACAGATTACTATGTTTTTAAGTAATTTCTAGAAACTAAATTCTGAGCTCTGACTCCCCTTCTTTGCTCTGTGTTTTAGAAGGTGATTCCTGCAAACTGTATGGCTTAGGGTCACGTGTCCAAGCCCTTTGGGCGTATTTGGCCAATGAGAGCACTGGTGGGCGATTGAGAGGCAAGGAGAAGCCAGTGCATTGCTTCGCCTCTCCCTCTGGGCACTGAGAAGTGTTTCTGGCAGTGATTCCTGTGTGGTTCAACCTCCTCTTGGGAAGCGACTCCATCTGTGGTCCCTTAGTTCCTGCTAAGACAGTCCCCACCATGGCTCCAGCTCCTGCTGGGTGGCTCTCCCAACACCACACTCTCACGCCTCCCTTGATCCTCCAGCCCTGCAGCTGGGGGAACAGCAGCAGGTTCCTGCTGTAGCTCATCTCTGGGTGCCTCATGGTTCCTTCAGTCCTCCCAACCTTTGCAACGAAGTCCCTCCATGGGCCCACTTGGCATGGGCTCTGCTTTCCTGACTGGACGCTGAGGCCTGTCCAGGGCACCATCGATCTCTAGAGAGCAGAGCTTGTATTTAGGAGTATGCAGACCCCAGAAAATGTGTTTGGCAGATTCATTCCTTCTTCACAGCCAAATTTACTATTTGTACTAGGTGTGTGTTGGAGCAGAAAGGACACTGGACAGAGAATCAAGAGAACTAGAACTCAACTATCTAGTCATGTGACCCTCACAAGTACCTTAGAGCCAAAGGAGCCTGAGGTAATTGTGCCACAGGGGGTAAGAGTTCATCTGGCCTGCCTGATTCCCGATCAGGCTCAAACACGGAAGGCATGTAAATGTCTTAGAAATTGACAGGGTCCTTGTGAATCTACATGTATTACTATTATTGCATGAAACACAGTTGTTGTTCATAGAAAGTGCTTTGCACTCAGCACAGCCCAATTTTGATTTCTCAACCTGATTTGTACATGGACTAACAAAGGAAGAGTACACAGCCCAGTACCTGGCACATCTCAAGAACTACATGGATCCGAGGTGTGACTTCTTCAATGCTAGGCTCTTTGGCATCATGAGAACATATCTTTTTAGCAAAGACCATGCTGGAGGTCAAGGTCAGCTTACCTATGTCGAGGACCCTCTGCTTCGCTGTATGCTGCCGAGAGTGCCAGTACTTCCAGTATTTCAGCTGTTCGTCTCGGTTTTTGTCTTCACTAAAGACCACCATCACCACGCTCTGCAGAGGGGAAAACCACGTATATCACTTTCTGTTCCATGTCTCTGGTGCTTCACACAGTCTCCCGTTCTGGAAGCTCTACCAGAGGTGTGTTTCTGTAATGTTGTTGCTCTTGCTTTACAAAAACCCAGGCAAGCTCAGTTGGGTCGTTTGTTTTGCTTTAAAATGGGCTTACTTAAAAAATGATTGGGAAATGAGAAGAGCACAGAGGGAAAAAGAATCCTACCTCATTTTTACCATGAGGTATAAACAACCAGATTCACAAAATTAACAGCGAATTTATTATTTTGGGAGGTGAGTGGGAATACCCAGAAAATTTTTCTCCTGTACTAAAAATAAGCACATTTTTAAAATTTCATATCCTTAAATGCAGAAATTGGCACTATTTGTAAAGGAGCAAACATCTGTTTCTGGCCTAATTAATTGCCCAAGGTTGAAACACTGTTAATGAACATAGATCTAAGCTATAGATGTTTTATAGGCCAAAAGACACAAGGTCAACTGTGTTATTTATTTTAATACAATGTGGATATACTTTTAAAATGAGCTGAGGAAACTAATTACATCTTATAATAATAAGAATCCTAAACCCCTTCTGGTTCTAAATTAAACAGCCTTGTTAAACTATACACATGCTAATTCACTGTCACTTACGAAGTGGAGAAGGTACCAAAACCAAACCACCAACAAAAAAAAGCCCCTTCATTACCATATCAGGGACACACTTCTCCTCTTTCTCACTCCATATCCAAACCTTGGACATTTTCCTACATTCTGGAATGTTTAATTAATTCTCATTCCTTAATACCTTCTCCTTTGTAGCATTTTACACCCTTAGTCATTTACGTAATTTTTAACCATTGAGTCAAGGGCAATGTCTTCTCATTGACTTCACACTCAGTGAGGACAGAGACAGTGTCACCCACCACAGTGGCCCCAGAGCCTGACAAACGATAGATACCAAATACATGCTTGTGGCTGTACAGACAACTCAAATTCTGGCTATTCCCAATGTATGTGTGCACATTTATTACCCAAGAGAGCAGATGTTTGTTAGAAAAACTACTTCATAAATATGTATTTGATTATGCAAATTCATAAACAGCATGACCTTTGAAAGTATGGTGAGATGCCAAGAAAGGAACCATGGGCTGTGCTGGCAGAACGATAAGCCCAATTCTTCATTCTTCTCCCTCCTGCTTCCTCAGACTCCCCCATTTACAGTGGCCACCCCCCTCTTATCTGCAGTTTCTCTCTCCACAGTTTCAGTTACCCTGGGTCAACCACATTCCAGAAGCAGATGGTTCTCCTGATGCATCCTCAGAAGATCGATAGTAGCCTAATGCTACATCACAATGCCTACGTCATTCACTTCACTTCAATTCATCAAGCAAGCATTTTATCATCACATATCATCACAAGAAAAAAGGTAAGTATAGAACAGTAAGAGATTTTGAGAGACCACATTCACATAACTTTTATTACATTATATTATTATAATTGTTCTATTTTATTTCTAGTTATTGTTGTTAATCTCTTACTGGCCTAACTTATAAATTAAGCTTTGTCATAGATATGCATGTAGAGGAAAAAACATAGCATATATAGGGTTTGGTACGATCTGCAGTTTCAGGCATCCATCAGGGGTCTTGGACCACATCCCCCACACATGAGAGGGGACTACTGTACATGTAAGAGTTTACTGCATGGCCTCCCGGTGTTTATGTCTGTCTGTTCCAAAATAAAAATAACATTTAAGGTAACTTCTTTCTAGCAAATGACTAAATTAACATAAATAATGACATGTTCTTGGTATGGAAATTTACTTCTTCAGTGATAAAGAAAAAAGGAGTTTGAAACTGCTATTACCAAGCCTACGTGCTTTTGACTCAGAATGAAACACTGTTTTCCAAAATTCATGTGGTAAGTTCTGAGTGCAGCCCTCTTTCCTCCAGACTGAGGAGCAAGAAAGATCTATTCTGAGAGGTGCCATCCTAACTCCCCAAGGGTGTTAGATTGACGTTCTTCAGAGAAGAAGGGCTCTTCATTTTAGCCGAAATGCAAAGTTAATAAAATGTTCATATTAAGTCACTTTCATGATTTCAGTGAAGTAGAATGATTAGAAAAGTCCCTATACTCAAAATCATTGTCATGGCCTTAGAATACTAACTATTCAGCATCGTTTCAGGGTGATGATAACGGTGTTGTCTGGAGGGTGTATATGAATTATATGCTCACTTGTCACTTGCAAGATTTTTTTAAAGTAAATTTAGCGAGTGTCTTCTTACCAAGCATCTACATGTGAAGGTATAGGGTATAAATTCTAGCATATATATCCAGAGGGGGTCCCAAGCCAAAATTCCTCTGCCTTTCAGCCCTCTGTGCTCCTCAACACATTGCACCTTGATGCTTTAGAGAATTGGTTCAGGAGTCTGCCTGCCTGGAGTATCTCCTGGTTCCCTCACATTTGAGCTACCCAACCTTAGCTAGTTACTAGCTTCTAAAAGGCTAAGTTGCCTCATTGTAATATTATAAAAATAATAATAGTGCCTGTTTCATAGAGTTGTTAGTTTCAATGAGTTACTAGATCTATGGTGTTTAACATAGTAGCTGGCACATAACCTTGTGGCTCTTGCTGTTGTTATTTATTAATATTGAATCTCTCTGCCATTATTGGCATCATTATTATTATTGATCCCTCTGTCGTTGCTGTTCTTGCTGATCTCTCTGCCACAGCCTTCACCACAGGGTGGGAATACACTAACTCCCCTGCAGCCACTCAGCACACCCGCAAGGGCCCCAGCCTCTGGTGGGGCATTAGCTCCACATGTTCCCCTCATTCTCAGCTGCCCTGCCTCCTAGGGCTCTGATGTGGGGCTGCGACTGGTGGAGGGGAAAGAACTGCCTGATCCCTCCTTATCTTTCTCACTGAAACAAAGGCCGAGAGCCCAGGTGAGGCAGTGATGGCCTCTGCAAAGATTTTCCTAAGTGCTTGAACAAGCAAGCCGGCCAGGGCGCACCTGGATACCCCTTTTCCTCTTTTACTTCACTTGTTACTTTTGCATGGGGACCTGGGATGGGGGTAAACTCATTGTGCTCTAGGTGCAGCGTGGCAGCTCTCTCTTGGTATGCTGGTGAGTTTAGGAGGAGGTAGCTGTGGATAAAATAAGGTGGGGCAGGCATTATGCGCATAGCATATAAAGAAATCATTTTGCAACAGGGCAGGGAAGTCCTTCAACCTCTTTTCAGAGCTGTATTATAATTTTCCTTTTCAGTGGAGAGGGATTACAGCTCCCTCCCTTCTTGGCAGAGGTGAGAATGCCAGAAGCTGGCAGGCTTCCAGGGTGGTTCCATTTCCCACAAATAGGACTAACACGAATGTGAAAATTCCTCCAAGTCACTGTTGGTAGAGATCACATCATGCCTCACCCCTTGACTCTTGAGTAAGCACTGGGCTGAGAAGATTTTTAAACAAAATTGCAAAGGACTCAGGGACACAGAATAAATCCTACTTTATAGGAGGGAGCAGCCACTCTTCCCTGGCCCACAACTATGATCTGATTGATAGCTACTTACTGGAAAAACAAAGATCAATGGGTTGAAAACAACAACAACAACTAAGTAGCATATAGACAATGAATGAAGCCAGGAAAATTCCTGGGATAAGTCAGAAAGCATGTTCCAACCACGTCCCTTCCCTTAGGTTTACTGGTTACTGATTAAAATGATAAACTGCCAGCCAGTAAGTTCTCTTGCATTTGTTCTAGAATTATTTATTTTGGAATGTTTTCCGTGTCCTTTCACAAGGCTGTGCGGTATAGCAAATCCACGCAAGTGATCCCTCCGTTTTATTTGAGAAATGAGGCCCATACCCTGACTTTGCTGATGGGGTGCCGGAAGCATTTGTTGTCTCCAGTCTCACTGAGCGTTATAGCATAGAACTGTCCCTTGTTGAGGTAGGTCATGGGGCCCTCTCCCTGTTTCTGACGGAGAGATTTGGTGGCTTCCAGGGTGTACTGAAACGTGCCACTGTGAACAGAAAATAAACAGTGGTCAGATTCACTCACTTGTCTTCCTAATCAATTTCACATCAACATTGTTTTGTTTGAATATTAACCAATATTTACCCTATTTCGGAGACAAGACATAGCATATGGCAAAAGCAGACCAAAGGTTATTGCCAGTACAATGTATACATTTCTAATAGAGGCCCGTAAACCAGATGGTTTAGAAGAGGAGGAAGTCCATGATGTGCTTGTCTAATTGTGCAAGGCTGTGCAGGGAGAACTGTTAGGCCTTACGTGGTGATCAGTAAGGCCTGAATGAAGCTTAAGAACTGGTGGAATTTGCCACTTTCATCCCAACAACATGTCAAATGTGTGAATTTTTTTTCAATTCATATGTATCTCTCATCTTCTTTTTGTCTAACGATAATGTTGCAAATAGCTATACTCCACTTTAAAATATTTCAAGATATGAAAATCTAAAACTCAAACATTCATTACTGAGAATCTAGTCCCATTGCAAAGAATGCTTTTTATTTTGTTTTTGTTTTTCAAGCTTGCAAAAGAATGCATGACAGGGTTGCTGGTCTATGCCAGGGGTTTGCAAACAACGGTCCATGGGCTAAATCCAACTCACTGCAGTTTTATAAACTGTTTTATTGGAACACAGCTACACTCATTCATTTATGTCTTGTCCATGGCTGCTTCCATGCTACAACAGCAGGGCTGAGTAGTTGTGACAGAGACTGTATAGCACACCAAGTCTAAAATATTTGCTGTCTAGCTCGTTGCAGAAGAAGTTTGCAAATTCCTGCTCTAAACAGTTTTCCAATATTTAAAAAATATTATTTAATATACAAAATAAAAAATACTTATTTTTCCCAACTTTGAGAATATATCAATTGTGTTTAATGAGCCACAGGTAGGAACCACAGTATTTTTTGTTTAACATGTTCATTCAGAGAGACTTATTTCTGCTACATTGTAGGACGGCACATAGTGATGATCCAATAACAAATGCGCTGTGTGCTTTCTGAATCCTCAGAAGCTCCTCACTGGGGCTATCTATTTTCTTACCTCTTCAATTTCACAGTCTTTGAAAGGCTGGGTACAAAAATTACTCAAAGTTTGTCACTTAAAATTGTTTACTCACAAGATTATGAGGTATTCTTTGCTTTCTATTTTAATTATTTCTGCAATGTTGGTTTTTTTTAACTTTTATAATGAGAAAGAAATTTAAAAGGCAAAATAGTATTTCTCTTATGTGATAAAAATCTTAGACTTAGGCTGATAAATTAAGCAAATTTCAAAGTATGTATCTCAGAAGAAGATGGGAAATAAATCATTCAAGACAGAATCAACTCCACTGTCATTTTGCCTAAAAAGCAATTTCAGTATAGCCACTGAATCACAAAATTTGAAACCTGGACAGCATACTAGGAACACCCAGACCAGTAGCTTGGAACTTGTCTAGGGCACAGACTGCTGGAAAAACACAGAGAAAGCTGTGAGCCTTTTCCCAAGAAAAAAACCACATATGAACATAAATGATTTTGAATATAATTTCACTGGCTCATGTCCCCCAAGCCTATTCATGACACAGGGTAAGAACCACGTTCCTCATTTCACAGTTGAGGAGAGACGGGAAAACTTGATCACTCCAGCAGACAACAACAGCAGCAGAAAGAGAAACCAGGTCTGTAACTGGTAGGTCTGTGCTCTTTTGATTTTTTCACTGGCCTGATAGCTGATTACACAGTGATCTGGATTTATAGTATACAAATTGTGTAAGGATTTCTGTATTTTAGAAGGTGATCTGTATTTAGAAGGCAGGCATCCCCCCTGCCTCCCCTCTTCCCTTCACCGCACTCCCAAATTCTGATTAGGATGATCTGGGATGGATGACTGGGAAGCCTGAGGCTGGAGCAAGAACCTGAAGGATCAGGACTTCAAATGGAAACAGAATAGAAGAAGGCCATACTCATAAAAGCAAAGGGGCAAGAAATATGGTGGGACACAGGATTTAAAGTAAAAAAGAACTGGTGCATAGAGGGCCCTGACCCCCTTCATAAAGAATTTGTGTTAATTCTGTCTGAAATGGTGAAATCACTGAGTTTTGTCAATGGGAGAGATCAGTTCATTTCCTGCCGTTCTCTCCTGTATTCAACTGTGATCATGACCAAAGAGTTTAAATATCTGGCTCCTCTACCTAGGATGTTTTTAACCCTCCTCCTTTCCATTGAAAACTCCTGCTGATAATCCTCCGCGACCTGGCTCAAATGCCCCCCTATGCAGCTTTGCCCAGCTCCACTCCCCTTCCTTCTTTCCTCCTCCCCCAGGTCTGCAGGCCCCTGCAGCTTTCTGTTTACATATCTCTGTGGCAGAACTCAGCACTTGTCCATCACCACATTTGTTTCCTCCAAAAATCTAAGGACATCTCACAAAGAGAGGTTATGTCTTATCCCCAATCCTATGGCACTGCTGGTACATGGAAGACACCTGAGTGTATGATAGCTGGTAACTAGATATGTACAAAGTGGAATGAAAGGGAAAAAAAGTGTTGAGGGGAGATCAATGATCTTGCAATAGTTTTGGAGAATGTGGTCAAGAGTAAGTCAGAAGGGACAAGACAGGTAGAGGAGAACATTCAGCAGGTGGCAAGTGCTATGAAAGTACAGCAGGAAGGCAAGCAGACCCTTATACTTCTAGAGTGGGTAGCTGGGAGGATGGTTCTGTCATTAGCCACAATAGGAAGTAAGAGGGGAAGACAAGATGTGAAAGAAGGGGCGAAGGAAGGAAAGAAGAGGGAAAGAAAGAAAAAGAGTCCCATTATGCATATGTTGTGTTAGAGGCCCAGGTGTTTGAGGTTCAGAGGAGACCAGATGCCTAGCTAACAGAGGCACAAGAAAGTGTACAGGCCTCAGGAAATTGGGCAAGACTGGAAACAGTAATTTGGAAGTCACTGTACAGAGAAAAGAATTTTCTTTTAAGGGTTTAAAAGTACAATTTGGGAGTACATTTGGCCTCAGGAAATTGGGCAAGACTGGAAACAGTAATTTGGAAGTCATTGTACAGAGAAAAGAATTTTCTTTTAAGGGTTTAAAAGTACAATTTGGGAGTACATTTAAAGGGTTATTAGTTCATCAGTTTCTAGGACATCTCCTGGTAGCCTACCTTGATGTCTGGTCAAACATGTATTCCTCAGCCCCAACTGAAGCACTCCGAAATTTCTGCAAAATTTAAAAGTCATCAAAATCAAGAAAAATAGGTGAATTATTTTGTCAAAAGAAAAGTAACACATGTATTCAAACTATTTTGTCCTTATTTTAGAAAACAAAATTATGTATTTTTTAGTATTGTTTTCAATTACAGTGAAAATAGTTACCATTTGTGCACAAACTTGCATATCACCTGCACACTGAGAACTACACTCAACAGAAAATACACTGTGCTTTGTCTATCATTCACATGTCTGTATTCAGATAGGTGTTCCTAAGGCATTTGCAGGTACTAGAAACTATTTCCTCAAACATATAAAACATCTCTTCCATCTTCAGTTATCTCCAACTCTTATTCCAAAAATCACAAACTTTGAGCTAATGGAACATTACTTACAGAGAGGCCATACAGCATAGCATAAAGCAGGATTCAGAGTGACTAGGAACATAGTTTCTGAAGCAAGACTATCTAGGGACAAGTTCTAGCTGTTTTTCTTGCTACCTTTGTAAACTGAGGCAAGTGCCACATTTTCTCCATCTGCAAAATACTTACTTATACTGATTAGAAGCCTTAAAAGTGTTAACAGAGGTAAAGTACTAAGAACAGCTCCTGGTGCACAGTGAGCTCTACATATCACTTGACCATATGCAATTCACAGCACTGTAAGAGTAAATTTGCGGGGTGGGGATTTAAGTCTTAGTATTACATGTGAAGAAGCTTGGGTCCAGTGATGTTCAGCTATATATTTAGTGAATGCACTTCTAGCATCTCTTTCTAAGAAACAGCTTTCCTGCCTCTTGTTTCTCTTCCATAAACTTCCATTATTTGACCAGCAGTTCAAAATTTTCCTTCTGGAAAGGGTCACCCATAGCTATTTTACAAACAATCTTCACCGGTCCCTAACCACCATCTCTGAATTCAGTGTACCATCGTATCACAGTTTATATGTACATATATAAGACCCTTCTCTTTACCCAGTCTTATAAATTCCTTGGATCCAAGAAGATGGCTTGACCTTCAAAGTTTACCCAAATGCATCCCAGGAACATTTCACAAATACTTGTTGACTGGTTTCTCAAATCATGACAGAGAATCAAAGATACAGATTTGTTGTTTCTTTTGCAACCAATCAAAGCATTCAAAGGGAATTTTCTGGGGCTCCACCATCTGATTCATGTCAAGAGAAATACAGAAAATATATAAAACACTGTCGTTGCTTCAAAGATATAAAAATAGGTCCAGGAGATGGAAAAACTCACAAAACGATGAAAAACAACAACGAAAGAAACTAAAATACAGCAAATGACTAGATATGAAAGTCTATGTTGAATAATTCATTCCTTCTTTCATTCAGATGTCCTGACTGGAAAAACACAGAATGCACATTAACAGGAAAGGATGATCAACAAAATTATAGGAAGGTTTCATAGAGATTGTGGACATTGCTCTGACCCTTCAAAGCTAAAGACAACCTGAATTGAGAAAAAACAATCCAGGTGAGAGAAGACCACCATGAGCCAAGACAAACTGATGGGTTATAAATGTCATATGCACACATCAGGCCAAGGACATAGGCCTGACCTAATTAGGGCCTAATTTAGGACCTAAAAACCTAGATACTTACTGCCTAGTACTTTGGCACTGAAATTGATTATAATTGAACAAAATTGAACATTCGGTTTCTTAGGCAACCAGCCACAGTTTAAGTACTAAGGTGCCATATGTGACTAGTGGCTAGTATATTAGGTAGCATAAAAGAAAATTCCCAATCTTGCAGTAAGTTCTATTGGACAGGGCTAATGTATGAAAAGGTGTTTATACTCAGTATAGTTACAAATTAGGAAATTTTTGAGTAGGAAAGTAGCATGATCAAAAGGCATCTAAGGAAGTGACTTGGAGATAGAGGAGATGCATTTCTAAGGTCTTCTTTGAAGGAATATGCAGTAACCCATAACACATGGTGAGCGAGTATTAGTAAACATGCCCTGAATGAATTTGCTGCCCTTACCATATAGCTCTGCAGCCTGAGGATAGGCTAACCTATTAAAACATATTAGACTTATAAATTCTACACTTCTAGTTACTCAGATGATATGAGGTATCATATACTATGACTGGTCCAATTCAAAGAGACTCTGACAACTATACGCTAACTGAAATAAAGAATCTTACTCCAATAACATGAGTGTATGTGGACAAGAACTGTTTAAAAAAATAGTTAATCTGTTACTAACATAGATATTGCTTTTTTTTCAAGTTTAAAAATTTATCTTTAATCTGTTACATTATCTTTGTAATTTAAAAATAATTAAAGATACAGTCCACCTGAAGAACATCACAAACCTCTATGAGCCTTGCTCACCTTGATGGATCACATGGACCTAAATAATGTAGTATTAAGAATTAGAACCAAAATGGCTTGGGTCATTCTGACTACAGTTACCAAGTTTCCACAGCTGTTTGGGAACTTTTTAATATAATTTGTAGGATGCCAAAGGGCAGGCAGCCGGCCAACGGTACTGTACCTTAGTGTGATATGATGTAACACATCTATACATTTCTCAGTCATTTGGACTGAAAAAAATGACAGTAAAAAGGTATGATAACATGTATTTTATAAATCATCTTTAAAGGACTTTAGGCATCAGGTAGTATTAGAACATTACATTTAAATTTTGAGTATTAGAATTCTAGTTTTTTTCTTGGATGAAAGGAAGGAGACATTTGCCAAGAATCTATTACAAAAAGACAATGTTTCTCCAACTGTGAGAAAATCATATATAGCTAAACAGTTCAATGTCTTTAATCAGTTACCAATTTTTTAGGTTTTATCATTCATTTATTCATTCATCCACTCTTTCAATAAATACTGAGCATCTGCTTTGTATCAGGCACTGTGCTGGGTGCTATGGATACCAAAGGGAGCAAAAAGAAGAGGGTCTCTGCTCTCCTGAAGCTTCTGGTCTAGTAGGGAAAGCACATTAATCAAATAATCATTCACTCAAAAAATTACAAACTCTCTGTAAACACTCTGAAGAAGAGTAACAGCATTCTGGGAGACCACAGCACAACTGAAAAAGTAAAAACTCAGTCCCACTACAGCCCTGATGGCCCTAATAGAATGTACTGCTTCCAGCAGCTCAAAGGCAAGGCCAGCAGAAAACATCAGTGATGTCTCCAAAAGAACCCAGGAGACAGTGACACAGTGACTAAAGCGAATAACAGCCCCTCTTCCCCAGGATTGCTGCTTTCGTAGGAAAGACATTTTCTAATTTTCTAATCACTTCCTAATCAGTCCTGCTTTGCCCATCGCATCTCCTGAACAATGATTACTGTTTCCAGATTGCCCCAGTGTCCAGAGCTGACTGTTACTTCCATAATCCCTCCTTAAACTTATCCAGTGTAAGCGCAAACATCAGAAGAGCTCCTCTCAGTCGTCTTACTGAATTGTCCCTAAGGGTTGCCTGCAGAAAGAGGCTAAATAATATAACTTTGACTACTGATGTGTTCATGGTGGTCTTTGGCTGGTGGAGTTGGACACAAAGAAAATTGACTATACTAGGAACTGAAGGGAGAGGAGGACAGGGAGGGCTTCCCTAGGAATTCACACAGAAGGAAGGGTGTGGAAGGGGGTAAAGAAGATTCTTTAACAGTGTTGTTCAGTAGAACTTTGGGTGAAGATGGAAGTGTTCTGTATATTCACTGTCCAATATGGTAGCCACTAGCCACATGCATCTATTGAGCACTTGAAATGCAGTTAGTGGGACTGAGGAAGTGAATTCTTTATTTAATTTAAACAATATGTGGCTAGTGGCTACGGTATTAACACACCAGAATTCTAGAACATGAGCAAAGGTCCTGAGGCAAGCGGAAGCATAACAAGTTCACAAAACTGAATGGAACCCAGAGCAGAGATCGCAGGGGTAAAGACGTGGAAGATGAGGTGGGAAAGACAAAGGGGGAGCCGAATATGAAATGTTTTGTAATCCTGTTAAAGATTTAAGTCTTAACCTGAAATACAATGTGATTTAAATGAGGGAGTAACATGATCAGATTAGCATTTTGAAAAGATCATCCCAGGTGCAGTGCATAAAAGCACACAGTATTATAGGCCAGAGACAATGATAGCTTGGGCCAGTATGGTGGAAGTAGAATGGAGAAAAATGGGTGGCTTTCAGAGATATTTAGAAAGTAAAATTGGTAGAATTGATCATGAGGGATGAGGAGAAAACAAAATATCAAGAAAAAATCCCAGTTACTTGAGAAACCAGAAGGGTGGTGGTATCACCCACTATGATGGAGAACTTGATGGAAGATTGTAAATTAGATTTGGGGTGTGTGGCAAGTCAAATAGGCAGCTGGATATAAAGGTTTGGAGCTCAGGTGAGAGGACTTGGCTGGAGAAAAAAATTTGGAAGTCTTTAGGACATACATGATAACTAAAACTATGCCATGAAACCAAGAGCATTTTCAAGAGGCAAGAGTGATACAAGTATCAAATGGTGCTGCAAAGTAACAGCTTTAAGAGACATGGGGTTTCCATAGCCATTCTATTCATGAGGTGTGTAGAGGACCACTATGATTCTGAATAATGGGCCATCCAATCTCATCAAATTTAACTACATATAGAGAAAACTAAATCTTCCTAAAGTATAAAATGTGCATGCTAAGGACAAAATTTTGCTTGATGTAATAAAATAATAGAAGTTTGGTGGTACCATATGCATGATATCATGTATTTAAAATAAGCACAATAAAATTGAGTTCATTAATCATGAGGGAAGCCATGTTCGAACTTAATATTTGGAACATTTTAAAGATTTTATCCTTTAAACTTGGGGGAAGAAGGGAATGGACTCCCAGTTAAAATTAATCATGCTGGACAAGGTTTAGATTCAGGATAACTTTCAAAATCAGTCTATAGGTGAATATAAAATCAATGACAATTATATGTCTATTGGGCATGTCAAATAATCATTCTTTGCTTTCTTTTCAGGATTCTCTGCACTCTATATTAATTTGACAAATAATATACCAAGGTTTGAGTTATGAAATGCATGGTAGAGATACCTGGTGCTCATTCATAAACAATTCTCATTCCTGAGCACATGAGAGGGCTAAACTTCCCAATCCTCTTACAATTAGGACCATGTGGCTAGTTCTAGCTAAACAGGAATGGTATGTGTCACTTCCAGGTAAAAGTATTTACAAGTCAGTGTACAATCTTCAAGATCTCTCTTTTCCAGCTGGAGTGTCTTCAGAAGTCACATATAGAGATGGTAAGGCCATAGATGGAGGGACTGGATTCCTGAGTGACTAACTGGAAGAGAGGTCTACAAATATGTATCAGGATTATTATAAGCAAGAAATACACTGTTAGTGTACTCAATTCCTAAATCTTGGTATTCCTTTATTCCAGTAGCTAGACTACTGTTAACTGACTTACACAAAATTGTAGTATAGAATAGGCAAATTCATCCTTTGATTACAATATATATATAAATATAATATGTATGCAGTATATTATATATATATAATTTTTCTGTTAAAAACTCTTCTATCTCTTCAGTTTTATGTGTTTTCTAAAACATTCTAGATTTAATACCATTCTGATTTGTATTTACCAACTATACTCACTGTTTATTAGCTGTGTGACCTTTGACAAATTTCTTAACCTCTCTGAATTTCTGTCTTTTTTACCTATAAAATGGGAAAAAGTAACATCTTCTTTGCACAATTGTAGTAAGGATTAGAAATAAAATGTGTGAGCCACAGTGCCTGGGGCTCAATAAAGGACGTCTATTGTTATTTCTTTTTGCAGATATAAACAGATAGTAAGCTTCCAGAGAATAGAAATCAAGGCATGCCTCTTGTCTTCTAGTCCTCCATCCAGCACACTGCGTAACACCCATATAAATGAACAAATACTTACCAAATATTATTATAAAGAGGACATACAATAAAATATAAACAAAATTAGCTAAAATCAATCCATTAAAGAATGTTTAATGCTACCACTGTCTTTAAAAAAAGTTGCATCCTGAGTTGAAACAAATTGCTTCCTTCTTTGACACCACTACATAAACCACACACACATACACAAAAGATCAGTCTCTAATAGCAAATGAAACTTGCTAATTCAACAAGGTTCTTCGACATTTTAATAGCTCGCCTTTAAAAAGTACCAAATGTTAGACAAATTTTCCTTAGTGAAATTCACTTGATAAATTCACCTTATTTTATAACCAGTTGGTAATGCCCAGCTACAGATCATAATAAGTCATTCCATTTAATTTACATCAGATTGAAATACAATATGCAACTTTAACATTGATTTCTAAGACTTGGAGAGCAGCTAAACCAAATTTGGTAGGAATAATCTTCACATTCAGTTTCTGGTAAATTATTTTCTCATCCTCTTCAAACTAAAACCCAAAATACAATAGCTTCCTTTCACAAGCCTCTTTATCTACAACACAAACACAACTGATAACACATCCCCCGATAGCATGATGGTTCCGTTGATATTGGACCACATCCATGGACTCTTCTGTGACTAATGGAATATTTCTACACCACGTGAGAAAAACATCAGTGTCAACCCTTCAGTGAAAGAGGTGAGTTCCTGACATTCCCACATTGAGTGACTCCCTTTTCCTTCTGAAGCATCCTGACTGCTTGGGGACAAATCAAATATGCAATGATACCAAAAACCCTGCAAGATCCCTTGCTCAGTTAAAAAAATAAAGTTTGTTAAGTATTTCAAACAACATGGCACAAGAAGCTAAGGAAGTTTACTTCAGGACAATATTTTTATGACAAAGACATTGCAAATTTGATTATAAAGCCCCAGAACTCTAGGAGTATAGTAACCTTTTAAGGGCAGAGACTATACCATCTCATTCTTCTCCTGCCCTGTCCCAAGGAACACGGCAGGCACGCCAGGGTGGCTGGCTCTGCGAGGGGAAGGGCTGCTCAGGCACAGGGTCTTCCCTAGCTTCTGCCAGTGCTGCAGATAGCTAGTCCCTCTTGTTCTTCTCTGCATCCGAAAGACAGGAAATAGCTAATGACCACAGATAAAGGACCCTCAGCTTTTTTAAAAACAGTCTGGGTAAGCCACTGTCTTAAGCAATGAAACTACTGAGAATTATATTTTACCACATCTCCGCCACTTGGTGCAGTACAAACCATGGGCATACTTAGGCTCTCTATACCTGAATCTCCACTGTTGAAAGATAGAGATGACAGTAACAGTTCCTACTTCATAGCATTTTTGTGGGGATTAAATGAGTATATATGACTTAGAATGAGCCCAGCATGTAGTAAGTGCTCATCCAATGTTCATTATTTTTAATACTATTACTGAGGGATGCAATCTCAACCCCAGGGAGTGGTATCTTGTCCCAGTGGCAACTAAGTGGGCAGCAGGCTACAAATACCAGGCTGCCATGGCATTAACTCCTCCTCAGGAAATCAGAAACCACAGGTCTTCCCCTTCTGTCATTGTTCCTATTGGCCCAGGAGGGCTGGAAAATGGGAAGCCAATGACCATCATGCCAAGTGCAGAGGCTTTGCTCCTAAATGTTGAAGAAGCTTACCAGAACTAATGAAAAAATGCATTACCTATTCTGAGTCAAAAATTGGAGAAGTGAGTCACAATTAGAACAGTTTTACAAAGATCCTAAGGCAATTAAATGGAGACAAGATTGTCTTTTCAACCAGTGGTGCAGGAATGACTCGCTATCACAATGGGGGAAAAAAACAGACCTCAATCTTTCCCTTATGCCACACAGACCTCAAAATGGATCATAAACCTGCATGTAAGGGGTAAAACTATTAAAAGTCTAGGAAAAAAACAAGAGAAAATCTTTGTGATGATGGGTTAAGCTAAGACTTCTTGAACAGTATACAGCAAAAACACAAAAAAGAAAAAATTGATCATGAGGACTTCATCACGATTAAATACTCCTATGCTTTGAAGGGCATAGTTAAAAAGCAAAAGGCTACCAGACTGTAACACATATAACCGACTTCACATTAGTTAAGGAACTCTAACAACTTAATAAAAGGAAGACAAATAACCCAATTTAAAAACTGAGTACAATATCTGAACAGACATTTCACGAAAGAAGACATAGGAATGGCCAAATAAGCATATGAAATGATGTTCAACATCATTAAACATCAGAGAAAGGTAGATTCAAAGCACACTGAGACAGCATCACATATCCATTAGAATTGCTATGGTGAAAAAGACTCATGATACAAGTTTGGGCAAGAATGTGGACAATGGAAATCCTCAAAGACTGCTAGTAGGAATGAAATTGTACAACCACCTCAAAACACTGTACTATCTTACAAAGTTACACATGCATCTATCACATGACCCAGCATTTCTTATCCTAGGTATTTACCCAAGAGAAAGGAAAGTATATGCCCACATTAAAACATATGTATGAATGTTCATAGCACATTATTCATAATAGTCCCAAACCAGAAGCAACCAAATGTCCAATAACTGGTGAATAAACAAATTGTGACTTATGCTTATCATGGAACACTATGTATTTAGCAATATAAAACAACAAACTATCAATACAAGCAACAAAATAGATGAATCTCAAAAATATTATGTGAAGTGAAAGAAGACAACATAGAAAACTATATCCTCTTGCATTCCACTTGTGAAATTTTAGAAAAAGCAAAACTCTAGGGACAGAAGGCTCCTGAGTGCTTGCTAGGTGCAAGGGAGAGGACGGGGCTTCAAGCGCAGGGGGCCTCAAGGAAACTTCCAGGGTGGGGGAACTTTCTATTGATTCTGATGTTGTTTACACTATTGTATGCAATTAGCAAAATTTTCAAACTGAGCATTTAAACCTTGTGAATTTAAAACAAGCAAGCAAGCAAGCCAAGATAATTGTTTCTGTAAGTTCTATGGTCACATGAGAAGAGTATGTATTACCTGTTTGTAAAGTATAAAGTATACACACATACACACACTTGATTACTGACAATACAAATTCCTTCTTGAGCATTCAATCAGAATAGGTCCTAAAACTAGAAGAGGTGAAGGTGAAAACTTTGCAGAGTAGGAAGTTGCACAACAAAATACCTCTCTGTTCTTCATAAATATTTAGTTTTAAGATTAAAAGAAACAAAGGAGTCTGTTATCTAAGAGTCAAGAAAAATAGAAATATCTCTGTACACATAGACCTGTTTATAGAGAAAAATACAAACATTTTTTTAAATGTCCTAAAGTTGAAATGTAATTCATTTATCCCACTTGTAAAGAGAAAACAAATAGGTAGGGAACCTGAGTTTAGGTTTCAGATACTGACAGAGCCGGGACTCACCTCTGGGGCTCCGTCCTTGAAGCTCTCGCTGTACGTGCTGTCCGGAGTGCTGCGCTGGTCATCCTTGAGGTAGGCGCTATGGCTGGCCATGGGGGGCACGCCGTACTGAGGCTGTTCAAAGATAACCACACGCTGCTCCTCACCATCTCCCCGGGAATAGTGCACAGGTGGGGCCATGAAAACCGGTGTGAAATCTTCAGCTTTCACCACCGTGATTCCTGACACAGGGAGAATGGCCGGGCTCTCGGGGACGTTTGTGCTGTACTGTTCCCGTTTTGAATTCTCCAGGTGATCTTGATTTAGGGAAAGGTTCACTGGAACAGTCTTTAGGACCTGCACTCGGTTTTCTCCTCCACTCAAATTACTCTGGGCTTCACTGGTGCCAAGACAGTTTCTGTGTTTAAACACACACACACACACCCCAAACATGACAGAATTAGAAAAATCACCATTTTGCAACTCATAATAAAATAATTGAGCAGGCAATAATCAGTGGGTGTTAATGCCAGTAAGGGAAAATTTGATGGCAAACTTTACAATGGAATGCAATAGATCTTTGCATCACTAGAATTAGGACAATTACACAAGTATGTGTTCTGGTGTCAGGCAATCAGGCCCACATATGAAGTGCAATTGCCAAAAAAAAAAAGAAAATTACCCTAAATCCAAGCAAGCCTTTATATTTAACCTCCAGCTCTCAGGATATACAGCAGGCTAGAAGACTAACTTAAACTATATCAAAAAGAAACTGTCATACAAAATCAGAATGTAGCACACTTACTGACCTGGTTTCTTCAATAAGTCAGAGGCATGAAAAAAGAAAAAAGGATAGGAGGTTTGTTCTAGATTAAGAGATTTAAAAGACACAACAATCAAATATGATGATTAGATCTTCTTTAGATCCTGATCTGAAAAACCAGAGGCGTTTATGAGGCAATGGGATTTCTGAGGTAACTGAGTGTGGACCAGGAGTTAGGTGATATTAAGGAAGTATTGCTAATTTAGTTAGGTGTGATAATGATTTTGAGATTATGTAATAAAATGTCCTTGTTGGTTTAGAGATACAAATCAGAAGTAGTTAGAGGTGAAATTACATGATGTCAAGAACTTACTTTAAATACTATTGCCATAAAAAAAGAAGGGAAGAGAAAAGGTAGTCATAAGCAGGTGTCACAAAAGTTATCATTGCTGAACCTGGAAGATAGGAGGGGCATTTAGAAGCCATTATACTATCTTCTGTACTTCGGGTTGGGTGTCAAAACTTTCAAAAGAAAACATTTTTCAACAGGTGTTTTTAAAAAGGCAGCGGCAGGACAATAATAAGGGAGGGGAGACAATTTTTCACTGTTTTGTGGGCTAAATTCCTTGCAGGAAAAATAAGATATCGAGAATTTATCATTAACTGAGAAATTGAGAAATAACATGACCTCATTGATATCCTTAGCATTGAATTACTTTCAGGGCTTAGGGAAGTGGTATAACTGGGCTTATGTAAAACAAGATCTCTCAGTTTTCAGATCTCCTGGCTGGCACAAGACAAAGGAGAGGATTTGGAAAATTAATTCTTGCCAGGCTAGATGAAATACTTTCATTTATTCTACAGAATTCTGGGAGAGAGCAGAAACAAAGAGAAACTTGTTCATGGAAGAGCACTATTGACAGCAAAATGATTTTACTAGCAGAGTCCCTATGGTCAGTAACATTTGAAGCCTCCTCTCACTTGCTTATGGCTTATTCTGAGCAATAGGAGAGCAAGTACATGTTTTGCAGGGAGCTCCATCTCCAATGTCTGCTTTTTTTTAATTAGCATGTGCTTTCTGGAGTTTACTGGCATCTCTCATTGAGAGAAATATTTGAATAAAATCTCTTCTTCCAAGAATTGAGCTCTGCTGGCTCCTCTCTGTAAAGGAAGTCCACTAGCCCCTGAGCTTGCCTAATGCTCAGGCAGGACTTGGCATTTTTATCTTTGATTTTTCAGATAAAACTTCAAAGTAAGGCATGAGGAAAGAATGGCTCCACATGAACAAAGCCAACAGAAAAATATCTAAACTGCTTGAAGTGTGTCACAGACCTGTGGAAACCATTCTAGAAAAGAACCCTTTAAAGAATAAAATTGCAAGTCCTCAAACATTCTGGCTTTAAGTAACAATGGGCTTTCATGACCAAATCAATACAATGAGTCTGTTTATAAGACACAGTGAAAATTCAGAAATTAAGATTAATCTGAGTACAGTTAGCTGGATGATGATGCCAAAACCAAGACCAGCCATTGATATCAGCAGTTCCTAAACTCCATTGCTTAAAACATTGTATGGAATGTTAATAGGTGTTCCTCAAAGAAGGGAGTCCATGATAAAGTCAGTATTAAAACAAAAGATCCATTGCCATAACAAAACCAGCCTAGGTGGATCACAAACATCATGAATGTCCCCGTTTAATTGTAAACCAGATTTCCTAAAGTCATTTCACCCCAGATACCTCTAGATTAACTGTTAGTACTTGAGGATAATGCATTGCAAATTGGGTATAGAAGGATTGGTCTACATGGATTAGCTACCAAAGCGAGTATCCAGTTTCTATTCCTCTAGGCTTTGCACAGCACAGACTTATTGTCCTTGCCAAAATACTCAGTTAGACAACTCCACTATGGTGAGAGTTCATGTCAGGTCAAATTTCTTAGTTCTTTAATTCCTGTGAAACACATGGGTTCTAAACAAGAAACACAAATCAAAATATTTTGGGCATACTTATACACAAACAAACAAGCGAACTATAGAGCTGCATCAATCTAGTCAAACCCTTATTACTTAACAGATTCAGCACCATCCTATACTGAAAACTGTGCCTCTGTAGAATGGCACTAGCTTTAGGAGCCAAAGACATCATGCCAGAGAACAGAAAGACATCCAGAAAGTGAATGACTAGAACGAAGTAAGAATTTTTGTAAGATACTGATTCACCTGCAATAGAATTTAAAATTGAACCAAATATTTTAAGACAAGCAATGCAATGCTAAGAATGGTGCATTAAATATACTTTTAAAAAAATCTGGACTGTCATTGAGACTCCGTTATTTTTCCAAGTATCAACTTCTGTATATAAACAGTTGTAATGATATCATGAGAGCACATGGCACCTTAATTTCTGAATCCACAGCAGATCAAATGATATCCTGCCAAATTACACTCAACCAGAAGTCTACTAAGTCATAATTATTCTATACAAAGTGGTTTTGTCTACACGTCATTGCCAGTTTTTTAACTGTGCTCTGCTGAAATCACAAAAATAACCATTCAAATACAATGAACATCTGTCACTCTTTAAAGTTGTTTTAAAAGATTCTTTAACAAAAAAATGGTCTCTTTTGCTTATTATGAGTCAGAGCACATATCTTAGACCCGTTCTTTCCCTTGACCCTTCTATGGTTACTGATAGAGGACTTAGCAGACAGTGCATGCTTAGTTTAATAAATGCAGGATAGAGAAAAAGTTACAGGACCTAAAGAGTGTCAGCCTCTTTCTCTCTGTTATCACTGCTGCCAGCTAGGGCCCAGGGCCCCAGGGCAATGTGGAGCATCAGAAGATTCCCTCAGAACTGCAAATCAGATACACCAGCAGAGGGTGATGCACAGCCCAGGGCTGCTGGTTGGTGGGTGGCCCCTGCTGCCAGTCACATAACAAGATCATTATGTCATAAGCAGGCTCTCAGGGCCAGGTAAGACCCTGACACATGTGCTAGAAGGGATTTCATTTCTCCTGGCTTCATGATTCCATGTGAAAGAACCTCCAATAAAAAGCACTATGGTTTCTCCCCATTCCTCTGCAGGGGAGAGAGAAATTTGGTGAGTTTGGGGGAGGTAGCTGAGCAAGGTGATTCATCCTTTCTGGTTTCCTTTATGTCTGGATCATCCTGGCCACAGAGAAGGGACACTCCAGTCACCCCTGACATACCACAAATGGCCTGTCCCTTCAGGCAGGCCTGAAGTCCTGCCTGGGTCTGGAGGAGTAAATGTATTGAAGTCAGGAATTGAAATATTGCAAACTGCAGATTCAAAATCACCATCTCTATTTGGCTAAATCAGAAATAAAACTGATTTCTTTTTCCTTTTCCATTTTAATCTGTATGTGTCTTGTTTTGCAATTGGTTTTAATGCAGGATTTCAGGAAAGGGGTGTAACATAATGATCTCCTAATATTTCTCGCCACGGCACCCTCACAGTGTCTGCTGCTATCCAGGTCCCTCTGCCAGCTGCCTCCCTTGTCTGAGGAACAGCCCAGATTCTTTTCCCTCATCAAATCCATCTTCAAGCATCTCACACCCTCGAGGGCTTGATTGCAATCATGCAGCCATGGGACTGATCAGGAAAGTTCACATTAGCAGTGAGCTCCCTGCCAGTGTTTCACCTCTAACTCAAGATTTGCAGCCCCCTTGGAGGTGGGTCTAAGAAAAGCCTGTTGATGAACCTCTGAATGCACAACCAAAAAACTCAATTTTCTCTCCCTACTGAGAAGTCCAGTTTGGCTTCAGACTCCAAAAGAGAGAGAGAGGAGACTAAGTTTCTTGACCCCATCTTTCCTCAAGAACAAAGACTATGGCTTAATACTATTGTTTTAAAAAAACATAGAAAAAGAGTTATTTTGGGAGCCAGGCATATTCTTCTACATAACACCATACCTTTTATCCTGGTCTTCTTGGCTGTCACTTGCTTTGCTTACAGAAAGCAACCTCTTGTCTCGAGGAACCTGGAAACATCACCAACCATCAGTCAGACTTATGTAGATGCAGCTGTGACTACGTGCAGAGCTAGAAACCAGCGTAAGCCAAGCAACTGAAATGGAATGCTCCCCAGGAAAAGGGGGTCAATTTTCTATAGGCAGGAGATGGCTGAATGTGAGCAGTTTGAGTGGCACTAGCAGTGATCAGACAGAAAGGAGTGATGATAAATGGAAGTTCACATCAACCATGATTCTCCTGTGCCCTGCTGACATAGCAACTCCTCCTGGACCAGGACCTCCCAGGCTTGCCCCACCTTGGGAGTGCATGAGGGGGAAGGGGCACCATGAGTGGAAGCTTAATCTGGAATCTGTGTTCTGGAGCAGACAGAAAACATCTTGAGTTTACAAGCACCCTGTTAAGGAACAGGGACTGACCCTCCACCCTGATGAGAGATTTCAGGTACTGACAGGGAGGGCAGCAAACTGGGAAAGCGGCTGCCCTATCTAGTGGGGAACAAGCATCTGCTACACCCGGCCATCCTTTCACCACCCTCCCTACAGAGTTCATTGACTTGCTCCCGAAATTTTTCTTCTAATGCACTTTTACTATTGTCTTCACAACCGTAATGCCAACACACTACCTGAAAGATTATGGAAAAAGTACTATTTGATTTCATGA